GACTGACACATGTAGCATTTGAAGATTTGCAACATGCTTTATCAATAGGATGCCACTAAAGGATGCCTCCATCAACTAAATCAACTTCAGGGGTTCCAACTCTTCAAAGGAGTAGCATAACCAGATATACGCATGAGGATAAGTCTGAGAAAGGTATATGGACTGGATTCCTCGAGGTGGGGGAGAGTGAAGGTGGGTAAGAGAAATAGAAAGAGGATGGATACCCCATTTAACTTAGGAAGGTAGGTATCACCTAATCTGGGACTGGGTAGGTTTCCCTTATACATATTACTAATGACCTTAACCTGGTACCTATCATTGAATTTCTCTTCTCCTTTTCCTTATATGCCTTATAAAATATTATTCTTATGGTCCAGAGCCTGTTGAGGTAGACAGTAAAGAGTAGGTGAAAGAAATAGATGACAGTTTACCAAACATTTATTAGGCACCTATTAGTGTTCAAGATATTCTACCATGTGTACTCCTAGAGGCAGTTAGATAGCACAATGGATAAAGTACTGGCCTAGGGTCAGAAAGACCCAAGTTCAAATCCAGTCTCAGATACTTACTAGCTATGTGATTCGAGGCAAGTCACTTAACCTCTGCCTTCCTCAGATTGTAAAATAAGGATAATAATAACAACTATCTCACCTCTCTGTATCATGAGAATCAAATGACGTAATATTTGTAAAGCATCTTCAGTTCAGTGACCAGATAAGTTTGGGAAAGAATGAAAGGCCTCAGGGCTGAATGTAAGGTTCCCTGGTTTAGTGAAGAGTTGGAACCCTTGAAGCTGATTTAGTTGGTGGAGGCTCAAGGCACAGGACTGTGTCCTTTTCCCCTTTTCCCCCCTCTTTTCTTTTCCCCATTCCCTCCAAACTCATCTGATAAAAGGACTCTCCCCTTTCATGGGGTATGGGCCATCCAGTCTTTCTGATGAGGGCAAAGTTGGAAACGGGGGAAGATGGGTATTGGAGGATCACTGGTATAAGGATAATGAACAGGAGAGGAGGGTAGAAAGGAGAGGGCAAGGAAGTCATGTAAGGAACAGCCTGAGAATATAGGGGCCCCAACAGCCCACAGGCCCTGGAGTCACATTACCTACTTCAAGCAGAAGACTCTTAGAAAAGGTGATTACTGAAAGGCTAGACATCTGGAGGGACTTCCCAACAGTGAAAGGGCACATAGCATATATCCACTATGGGAATATCTTGGTTCCCAGGAACAAGCTTTTTTTCCTGAGGGAGTTGGAGGAGAGTTGCCCTAACCGGCTACAAACGCCCCCATTCCCTGGGTCTGGGCCAGACCCCCCACAGCCTAGGCTTCCCAAGGTCTGGAGGGGAGGAGCTAGACAATCTGGAAGCAGGTTTATAGGATGATCCATGAAGGGCCACCACCCGTTACTGTTCTCTTCCCTCCACCCATGACCCTGCCAGAGCTCAGCTCCCAATAGCCCAGTCTCTTGTCCTGGGATTGGCCAAGGACAGCCATTCAGTGGGCAAGCAGGGATTAGAATCTGCTTTTCTGACTCTCAGACTGAGCAAAGGGAATAGCTGCCCCCAGTTTTGCTCAATCAACTCTTCTCTCTCTCACACAAACCTTTCACCCCTGACACTGAAATAACATGGGAGGAGTGGGGAGGAGGGGACACAGGGACACCTTGAAGACCAGAATGTTCTTTAGACTTTTTCTCTACAAGGCAAAAATGGGAGTGTCTGTGCAGACACAACTTACAAAAGGAGTAACTAAGGCTAGACAGAAGAAAAGACATCCTCATCAATGAATAGACAGCAAGGCAGCCTAGTGACTTTTCCCTTCCTGGTAGACTTCAAAAGCAAGAGGGAAAAAAACTTCTTAAATGACTCCAAAATGAGGAGAGTGGCTTACAAGGAATGCAGAAGAGCTGTTGTGAGGGTTCTTGAGGCAGCTAAGTGGCACAGCGGATAGTGGCTGGGCCTGGCGTCAGGAGACCGGAGCTCAAATCCTGTCCCAGACACTTACCAGCTGGGTGAAGCGGGGCAAGTCCTTAACCTCTACTTCAGTTTCCTTATCTGTAAAATGAGGAGAATATAGCACCTACCTCCCAGGGCTGTAAATATAAACTAAGGTATTTGTAAAGTAATTTGCAAACCTTAAGGTACTAAACAAATGCTAGATATTATGATAAAAATAGTGGTAGGAACACATGAGCCTTGGATGTGTGATCTGAATTAGACCAGGGACTAACTGGGTAGGGGACATCATTCACGAGTGCTGGGAAGGGGCCTCTCTCACTAAAACTTGGGTTACTTGTAACTCACATTCCCATTTCCTGGAGATTTCTGGAAATTCCAACCCACACCCAAATCCAGCCCCCACAGAGGATCCAACTGATATCCAGTACTCTCCTTTATCCATACCCTACCCTGAAGGCATATCCTAAAGGTCTAGAACAGGCTGAAACCTTAGGAAGAGAGAGAAGTCCCATTATGGTTTCCTCTCCTCATACTTCAACATGTCTTTGACAACTAGCAAAATAGCCTCCTCCAAAGGAAGCCTAGAAACACTGACACAGAATCACATGGCAAGGATTAGGAGTGGGGCACCCTGGTGATTTGGTGTCCACTAAAAGAATTCCACAACATGATGAGGGCCAAGAGTTAAACTATATTGTGAGGGAGGGCCTGGGAATTCTGGAACATGTGGGCAGCTGTGGAGGTCGGGCTTCCCAGCAGGCAATGACAAATAAGAGACTTCCATCCTTCCCATCAGACAGAGTCATTTTCAAGAAGAACACATCCCCTGTACTCCTCACACCCAACCCCCTCAGTCTCAACTGTTATCCCAAGGTCTGCTGGCCAGATGACCAGGTAGGTCTGTTTTTAGTACCACCATCCTCAACTGTGTTACAGATGAGGACTCCTTGGGTTTCTAGCTCCTCTTTTCCTATGCCAGCTTCCCCCGGGGTGGGAGGAGTAGTAGAAAGTGTAGGCTGCTCCTGTTGCCATAGCAACAGAGAAGGCAGCACTTGATTTGCATGTATTTACATCTGCATAATTTCCTGGGCCTAGTCATACATTCTTATGAATGTAAATGGTTAGATCCCAACAGGTAGGCTGCTCCTTCAACTCTATCGATACGGCAGCTAGAAATTCACACCCACTTCACCACCACCCCCAGACCCAGTTCCTAGCCTCCTTTCCCTCCTTTTTCCTATGGACTGTGTCTCCATCAGCAGATAAATTCACTTATATTCCATCTTCCTGCCTCAAGAATAATGAAAAGATCCAGGCTTGAGGAAAGAATATCTCTGGAGTGGGCTGTGGATTTCAGCACCATGGAAAGCAATGGGAAGGGTTGGCTGGGGGCCTAGTCC